GACGAAACGTTTGTAACCAAATTGCCAGGCTCAGCGAACAGTTCAACCTGCACATTTGGGTTCGCTTGAGGGGCTCCACTCGGAGCCTTTGGCTCAGTTACCCCTTCTCACAATGCCTTTGTGGGCAAGTGCAGCACGATAGTGTGGTTGCGGAGATCAGTTAGCATTTGCCGGAGACATGTTTTACGCGAGCTTTTTGAAGATTTAGAACAGTACTTGAGTATTTTTCTACCTTATTGTGTTACACGCATGCGGCCACTACCAATCGCAGTTGGGTTTTGCTGGGTTAGCACCGATTTGACCAGGAGCTGCCTTGGTTGAGGCGGGCAGTAGAAAACTGTTGAGCACGGGGTACTCTCTCACCGTCACAGGCTATGCCTGTTACTCGAGCTCTACAGCAATGGATCTGTGAGCTTAAAACTCGTCACCTTTTGTCTCTCATGACCAGCTTTACAAGAAAGATGGCTGTCGGTCTATTGGAAACCTCTGGAGAAGATGCCGAGACTGGGTTGGTTTCACTCCTAACGATTGACTTGCCTGTTATGTGTGGCTTCGAGGGCTCCTGGGAAGTGCAACTCAGCGGGACATGTAGGTACACAAACCATCGCACCACTTTGTAGTCCAATTTCATTGCGATTGACTCATCACGTTGATAATCACCATCGACTTCTTCGGCTGTATAGTGAGGATGAATTCCAACATCCTTATAACGGGCCTGGGAGCATAACTGAGAAGTTGAACATTAAACCATTTCTCGAACGCACCGACTAAACCGTGAAACGGAACATTCTGACCTTGACCTGCTTTGGCACCGTTGTTATGTCGATCACGTGGACTTTCAATATAAATCTACAGTACCTAACGACCTTACTCCGTCGTCTCTGAAACAGCGATGGGACTCGTTGATTGTTAATCTTTACTCTAATAAACAGATTATGATTTAGTGGAATGCCCTAGCTCTGACTATTCTCCACGCTCAACCCTGTCTTAGAAGAGCCAAAGGACATTATGCGAAAACCTTTAATGTATTCACATGCTTTTTGTCTCCAAACTTCTCACAATCGCAGCATTGCGGTGACCCGCTTGTCCAGTGAAAGTCTTGGTCAGAATGATGATGATGCTTTAATCGTCATTAAATGTTGTACCGAACTCACATGCGCGGTGACCCACCATTGTCGACTAACTTCACTTGGGGATCTTCTTTGGTTCGTTTGATTGCACAGTACCACCTTGTTCTTTGCGTTATAAAATCACCGCTACATCTTGTGACATGTGAGGGTTTACGGTAAGTTTTGTGCTAAACTTCCCACAATAAATGAAGTGCAAGGTTTCCCTCGTTTTCTCTCCCTAAACATTTGTTATCGAAGTGATCACGGTCACTTGTATTTTTTGATTTTTCTAGAGTGGCACTTCTACCGTTGGGCTGTTTACGTGCGTAATTCCAGTAGAGGGCCCATAGCCAAGTGTCATCGCCCTTCAACGTCTTCGGTGGTGTGAGACAAGTTTGCCCGCTTTTACCTTTCTTATCAACTCCATTGTTGATGAAGTCATAACAACTGCGTTCGCTGGACACGATTTAGAAAGTGTACAGTTGCTTCTGAGTGACGGACTTCTCCACTTTGGGTATATCGACGATATTACTCCAATCTAAGTTAGCTCAAAAAGTGTACAAAGCACCACTAAATTATTTATCATTGGTTCTCAGTGGTTTAGGCGTGTATTTTGAATCCTGGAAATGCAAAGCTTTCCTTTAGGATTGGCAAAACCCAACCCTAGCGTTAACTCTTGGTGCAGATAAGTTAGATGTCAAGCAATTCAATTATTTAGGCAGCTTTCTCAGCGCCTGAGGAATGGAGGATGAAGTAGCGAACTATATAGCAAAAGCTCGAGGTTCTTTTCCCGATCTTCGCTACCTCTAGTGCCGGTGCAACATCACTCTTGCCTTAAAGAGTGGGGTCTTCCGTGTGCACGTCTGTTCAGTCCTTCTGTAATATTGCGAGACCTGGACCACCAGATCGGCAAACGTAAAGAGGCTAGTTGGGTTCGACCACTGGTACCTTCGCGCCTTGTCAGCAATCGGCGCGTGGGTCGCCTTGTTTGTTGCGTAGGAAGAGCGAGGTAGCGTTCAATACAGTTATTTCACACCATGCTATAGTGATTGGGATATGTGTTACACATAATAATACAATAACTATTGCGACATGCTTTGTTTGCGTGTCCGGGGTCAGGATGGAAAAGGGAAAGACCGGCCGATGGTCTGGTCAAGTGGAATAGAGGCTCATCTCGAACATGACTTCGGTTTGAGTTTCCCGATTGCCGGCTTGAGATCCGAAAGACGATGAACATGTCTAATTGAATATACTTGTTAACATGGCGAAGAGCCGACGTCAGTGGCGTTTATGTTGTGAGTTCCTTCCTCCTTCCCCTCCAACCAAGATCTCCATACCGACGCTTAAGGTAAAACAATATGTTATTTTTGTTTTGTTCTCATGATTTTTTCTTTGCAACTTTTTGCTACCATTTACTTGACTTGTGTGTCTGAACAATAGCTGGGATACTGAGTTTCGGTGTTACTTTCTCCCAACACTGATACCCCACTACCAGTTGCGTCCTCTTTTGAACTCATCAGATGGAGATAGCCTAAGCTGAAAGGGGGACTCGGGGCCTTATGCTTAGGGGCTGACGTTTTGATCATTATACCACTGAGATCCGGATACTCCAAACCCAACTAGGAATAGTTGAAATGATAATGTCGGCTTGATTCCTTGACACAGACGACATTTTTAGACACTGGACTCGATCAAGCCTTTGTATAAACTTTGTTGCACGCGTTAATTGTGTGTTGCAGTCTTTGGCATATGATCTACCCCCTTCTAGTGCATTGTGTTATTACATTCTCGGGTCTATATTCTCACGACCACCAGCCAGCCAATGTAAGTGGTCGATCAGTTCATTCGCTTACCTAGTTGTGTATACGTTGTGGTCGGATCTTTGAAGAGGGAAGTCTTCACGTGCATTGTTCAGACCGATATGGAGTTTCAAGGCCTCAATCATCTGTGGTGACTGTAACATCTCTGTTAATAGTATGGTGTGGAACCCTTTAATACCGTTGTATGGATTGATGCATGGCCACTGCGCGTCATTGCTAGCTGTCTCTGATCCTGTGCTTACATAATGTCGCTCTCATCTAATGCTTCCATCGAGTGTGTAACGCCCCATCTGTGTTTGGTAGCTGCACTTTTGCCGTACTGGAGTGTTTGTTAAATATGCACCGATATCCTGCTGCCACTGAAATGACAAACGGAAATACCGGAAGACCATCAAACTGATGTGCGCTGTGTTCTTCGGTCATGTCCTCGGAATCAGTCACGTCAGGGGCTATATACCTCATGCAACATGGTTTAATAGCACGATTAGAGGTTCTCGTGCATCCGATCCATTGTACATTTCTGCTGATCTTGCCACTAGCTAATCGTTCTTTTCATTCTACTTCCTCTTCAGAGTACTAGCTTTTTTACGTTTTCTCCACTAGTTTATTTTCATTCTCACTCTAGTCACGGTGAAAGGATCCACCTCTTTTTGCTTTGTTCATAATTGATCAACCGAACTGCACCGCTGTATTCGCGAATTTCATTTCTTTCTTGTGACTGCCTCTATGTATCTTTTTGTAAGTACTAGTGTCCAGATTTCGGAGAAGCCCGTTTCCGAGTTGCGTTTATCGCTTTCTTATTCTGTTAAACAGACACTAGACACATGGATGTTCTAAATTGTATCTTCCTCTCTGCGGGAATTCAACTACTGAGCACATTTACTAAGTCGTCATTTGAATGGGCTGATTTACTCTTGTTCACTTGGCAACTTAACGCAAAGCATCCATGCTCCTGCTACAACACCTATCTTCTTTGCGACATGTTGATATGCGGCGTTACCTTGCACCTAATCGGCTTATTATCGTTCTCCGTTCTTAACCGTACCCAGTAACTTTATGGGCATGTTTCTACGCCTCGTTCAGCCGGATAAGTGTCTGGTGTCTTAGATTATAGGAAAATAACCGAGTGTTATCCTGCTCGTTTAGTAGTGGCATAATTATCCCAGTCGTGACCCATACTGCCAACTCTGTCAACTGTGGTCTAATGCTATTTCATTAAAGCCAGTAGGTTCTAAAATGTGACTGAATGTCCCTTTAGACGCATGCTCATGATACTGCTACGGACACCGCGGTTCTCTTCAGACGTGCTTCCAACAGCCATAAAATTCATACACGTATTATATACATGCACTATGTCTGACCCAGTCTCTCTACTTTACTCGTTATCCCCTGAAGTACTACCTCCTTGTTTACTTACTTTTTGTTTTGTCGGAAAACATTGCACGTTTAGTTCAACTTTCCTTCTCCCTGACCATCGCGCGTAACCATCTGAAGGCTCCGTATCTCCGGCACTTGATCTACTCACCACTGAGCAGTAGATTGAACGTAACATGTGTCTGAATTTCCGTCTCCCCCTTCACCTCACCTTATCGGCATCTTCCAGACAAGATATTCTTCTCATCGAATTCGATCTTGATCATACACTACTCGCATGATAGTCGCGATTTTCCGCCTGAAAAAGGCGTCAGCAGTACGCCGGTACGTAATATTAACGCTTCGCTGCCACGCAACCACCACCAGTCGCACGTGGGCCAAGGGTACTGCGATGGTCACTCAGTCCCTACGCAAGCTCGAACCCGCGCCCTCGCATTACAAGGCAGGTTTATTATCCTTAAAGATACGGGCAGGCCTGACCTCCTCAACAGCTGTGCTTCATATTGACAGCCGTTTATACGATTAACTTATTACTTGCGTACTTCTGATACCTAGGCGTTGTGTCACGCCGTCGTACCTAAAGTTCTGGTTGCCTTCATTTTGCTATTAAAGCGGTATTATGTTGCACATGAGCATTCGCTCAACATATCGTTGTTTGCTCTTTGCTCGCTATTGTCTTTCGCTTGTTCCGCTTCAGGTGTTGGGTGGAATCTGGTGACAGACATTCCTTGGATCCATGAAATCTGTTGTTCGCTCTTACGCAACACTGAAACACGGCGGTCAGATCAAGCAGATCAGTTTTATGAAGTCCTGTCAGAGATTCAAGCTGCACCGAGAAGCGTTAAACTTCAACGACGGGGTATCCACCTACATGTTCAATATCGTGATGTTCATGATCCCTTCAGCGCCAATTCTACTGCAGACTGCGCTGTGCTACCCTCGTACCATAACTGGGACTATTCTGAACAGTACTTGATGACTACGCTCCCGTTGGTCGACCTTAATGCCTGGGGTGATGGCTTCGATGAACTGGTTATTTCTTCTTTACCACCATTACCGAAAGTGGTTTCTAGTCTGGACTCACCGGAGCCCACGTCATGGCAACAACTTTTGTTGCGTCAAGAAGAGATTGATATCGATACCACGAGCACACGTTTTCCCGTTCAAACCATGGTGCGATTCCGCCATCGCGAGTTCACTTCCAGACCTGTGCTACGGAAACAACGCTATCATGCTCGCAGAACTGATGTGCGCGAGGAACAAGCGACAAAAAAAGCGAAACTCGAGCAACACCTTACTTCATTGTATCCTTACGGCAGTCCAACTTCGTCCATTCAACGGTTCTGTGCGCCATGTCCCGCTGGCACACGAAAGCGAACATCCGTCGCCTCTACCTTGGGCCACACGCTTGAGAAGAAGCCAAGAACGCACACTCCTTGACATTTTCCTGATATTAATTCACTCGCAAAACACGTCTACGTTCAGTATACTCCGATTCCTGGTTCTACCTTCTCAGTCCCGCCGCAAATTGACTTGTGGCTCCTACTTCTATTCACGTGCTCGTGATACCGTTTTCCTGCATTCATCTTGACCGGGATCAATGGCTTCTCAAACTGTGGTCATTCTCTAACCAATTTTTTGTGATGTTCCCTCTCCACCTTTTGTTAACCCACTAGTTCACATCTTGCGGAGCACTTGTATACACAGTGATTCCTTCACGGCGTTTTCCCTAGATTTTCCAGCATGTCAAAGATTTCTCATTCCAATCGCCTGCTGACTAATTCCACTTGTGTCGAAAGAGTGCCTTTTATGGTTGATGTTTGCTCTCTTCATCGAAAACCGTACCGGTTGCTCTTATTCAATACATCATAACTCACTTGAGAGTCTCGCTTTTCTGTCGGCATACACTCGTTTGAACCTTTTATCTGTTTCAATTTTGTCATTAGTATGTCTCTTCCCTCGCTTCTCCCTCACCCAAATGTATGTAGGTCTGTGATAATTATTCAGGTGTTAAGGCAGCACATTGACCTCGCTCTTGTGCTCGTGAGTTTTTGTGACCACTTTCTAATCTTAACCGATCTGTGTGTATGTCTGTCTATTTAGTCCTTTACCCACGTGTTTCTTTGTGTGTCGGCAAGTGTGTTCTTGTCTGTCAGCCTTCGATTTCTCACTTGCGCTACTCGGTTGATGTCTGCCCCCCCCCTAGTGTATAAATTACGTTTTATCTTCAATCCTCTTCTTCGCAAGCAATTTCCAGTCTATCTGACCATTTTGTCATCATGGATTACATGTGCGAGGATATTTCCAGTCCCCCTATTCACTTTTCTTCGCAAAGAACACTTCATGGCCTTTATCAGTCGGCTTAAACTTACTCGTTCCTGTATTCTGGCCATATTTTGCAGTTCGCAGGTCTTCCATCTGCTTTCCTAGTTGCTTTATCCGCATAGCATATCCGCTTTGTGTGTTCCCAGCCACGCTGCGCACGCACGCACCCCCGCATACATTGTTTGCCCACGAATGGTTCATATCAATGTCGCTTATCTTATCTGGTCCTCCTAGTGAAATAACACTGCACGGTCTCGTGTTTCTGACAGTTCCATTTCTTAGAAAGTAGAAGTCACGATTAAAATTCACACGACAGGGAATCGAACCCCGGTCCAGCAAATTTCCGGCCCGCTGCTCTACCACTGAGCTACCGAGGGCTGACGATTAGGTGCACAATTTTTATTACATGACTTCTGCTTGGTGCGCGACGTATTGCCAATGAGCTCACAGTATCTGTCCTTGTGTTGCAGATTGGCTCACCCACCCGTCACTTCCCAATGGACCGAAGTATCTGTTCTTCAGATGTCCAAAGGACGATGGTAGATTAATTGTGGATGTTTGTGAGTAGTGTAAAGTTCGTAGAAAGTAGAAGTCACGATTAAACTTCACACAATAATCTGCCTGGACGGGGAATCGAACCCCGGTCCCACGAATTTCCAGTCCGCTGCTCTACCACTGAGCTACCGAGGGCTGACGATTAGGTGCGCAATTTTTAATACATGACTTCTGCTTGGTGCGCGACGTATTGTCAATGAGCACACAAATGGTGATTTCGATGTATCCATTAATGTTCGGCGCACTCAGCTCCTGCTAACCACCGGATTCTACCTACTGGGTTCATTTTTGTATCTCACCCCAACTTCAAGCATGCTAATGCGGCGGACTCAGCTACCTTTACTCGCGTTTCCATATTGTTTTTTCTAAACTGTTGGGCATATGGATCAAACATAACTTTTATAATGTGCCACAAGTACGCTGCTCACATCGTAACTGCTCCTCGTCGGAAAACATCTTACCACCGGTGACCGGAAAAAATCCTACACGAAAATTGCGCACAGCAACAAGCGTACACGGAAAATTTCACCCTCGGAGAATGGTGCACACGGTGTACGGCGAACACGGAAATACACCAGTTCGATTGCTTTATACTTGAACGACTGTTCAACGTGCCAAATTCACCCTGACTCATTCAGAGCACTGCTTGTCTACTGCAATCTGCCGAAACCTCAGCGATTCGGTGTCTCTAACGCACTTGATGTGAGCAGACCGAGTTCGTGACTAGCCTAGCATTGGCTTGATGAGGTTGGTGACCACATCAGATGACCGATAGCCATTTTCTCACAATGGTACTACACATGGAGGATGCACACAGTAGACTTTCCACCCGGAAAATCGCCTCAGATGTAACCGGTTTGTTTCACTACAACGTATACGATTGTAATCGAACACTTTCATCGTACACTTAGACCGATGAGCAATGTGGGCTGTCATTTCACTACGTTTTAGTACACTGAAAAGCACGTCCGCGGTCGGATCCTTCGCACATCTGCGACACGCGCTGCCATTCCCGCTTTCCCAACCAGCGCGGTTCACCGGCGTCACTGTATAGAAGATACCTATATGCGCACAATAAAAGTGTCCCTTCAAAGCTGAATTTAGGGAGCACGCTGTGTGGTTGGGTTGCGACTCGCAACCTCTATTGAGACCTCGGCTCACTTTGAGGTAAACCTCGGTCATTCCGATCTCGAGAATCGTATCCAGAATTGATATATTTGGGTGTTGCTCTACCCAACACTGGCACACCACGACCGCGGTTTCGTCTTGGTTTAGACTCGTTAGGTGGAGATAGCCTGAGTTGGGGTGGAACTCAGAGCTTAGTAGTTCATGGCTGACGCCCTGAACACTAGGCTACTGAGATCCGCGAGCAATGCTTGACACAGCGGAAAGTAATTCAAAGCTGATTTCGGGGAGCACGCTGTGTGTGTCCCTTCATTATTCCGTTCTTCTGTAATGTTATATATGCATGTCACTATAAACTGTTCACGAACTCGGTCTGGTCACACCAAGTACGTTAGAACCAACGAATCACTGAGGCTTCGGCGAACTACAGTAGACAAGCAGTGTTCTCTCTGTTGAGTATTCTGTATGAGTCATGGGGAATTTGCAACGGTAGGCAGTCCTTTAAGTACACTGCAATCGAACTGGTGTATTACCGTGTTCGCCGTATACTGTGTGCACCATTTTCCGAGGGTGAAATTTTCCGTGTACGCTTGTTGCTGTACGCAATTTTTGTGCAAGCTTTCATCATGGAACCCTTACCACCATTTTTGAGACCGTCGTCTAGGCGGGGGGCAACGCGCATCAGTGTAACCCAGTCCTGCCACAAGTTTCCTCGTATCCGCTCACTAGTCATCAGTTTGCGATTCTGAATTTCATGCAATGTAGGCAAGCACGCGGTGAGCACAACCTATGCGGTGAAAGTCGGCTGTTTAACATATTGCCCTTTGCTGTATTGGTGTCTTCTACCAGACTATTGTAATAATAATGTGTCAGCTGTACGCCGTAACAGTGCTTCGCTGCTGCGCGATCACCACCAGTCGCGCGCGGGCTGAATATACCGCGAGGACGCCCACCCCTACGCGGATTCGAACCGGTGACCTTATGGTTGCAAAGCAAACGTGCAGACCACTCGGCCATCGGTCGACAGACTATTGTAAAGCCACTTGTACCTTACCAATCGGCCAATTCCCGCTGAAGTGTCGACTCATTCTTGCAGTGTTGTCTTGTTTTTTAACACACGCTATACGTCGACCCTTTCGGTGGTGTAGCCCCGCTCAACGAGGCGCGGTGAATCCAGTTGCCATGACACAAATCACAAAACTTATAACAATTGTTTTTAAAAATAGCATGGAATAAAATCGTCAGATCTAGTATTTATGACTTAGGAATCGGGGAAGGAGTGCGGTAGCCCAGCTGAGTTCATTATTGTTCCATACCCGAAGAGTATATAGCTATTGATGTGGCCAATCTCATTGTTCCACCTGGGAAACGACAGGTACCAACCCGATTCAATCTTTCGGTGGGATTTTCATGCAACTGAGTGATCACACTAGCATTCCACTCATGTAAGCGCGGTATTAGTTAACAACCGAGACAGCCGGTCGGCTGGCTTCCAGATCAGATACTTCGGCCGCCGGAACCGATTCGAATTCAACAAGCACTTCAATGCGGCATCAGATGACGAACTGTGGTGCTACTCTTTCAGTTCTAACACCGCACATAAACAAGGTTGTACAGACATTGATGCTTAAGGTGCTAATGTCCTCAACGTTCAATAGTCAGGTCTCTGATACATGACTGGTTTCATCACAGCGGTATGAACGCTTCGTTTTGCCATTGGTCTTGCATTTCACATTTTCCCTAAGCAATTAAGAATTTGAAAAGTCACACGAGATTTAACAATGACTATGGTGATATCCACCGAAGGTTGCGTTGCTGTAAACCTTCGCCTAGGACACACTTGTTGACATGGCTAGGAGCCGACCTCAGTGGCTCTCGTGCGGTGAGTTTCTTTGTCCCACCCCATCTCTCTTAGCCTCCCCCTCCAACCACGATCTCATTATTTAACCTTATATAATTTTGCATAGTAATTTTTTGGATGCATAGTAGCCGGCTGGTAGCTTACCGGAACGATGCCCATCCGTTACCGGTAGCTCAGCCGGCTTGCCCCAGTTGAATTCTTTTTTTTCTCTCCTTTTTTCTGTGTATTGCGGTACAATAGCTGAGGTGTTCCCCACCTCTAGCTAACGTGTATGATGATGATCAAAACCTTCGCCTAACCACTGTCTACATTTTACCTCCTCTATAAATGATAGGCATTGAAAAGCCATGTAGACTAGTAGTTTACACGATTATCTGCTTGGTGATACGGCCATCAGAACTGATAGAACAGCCTGGATGCCTTGAGCGATCTACCGTTTCGAGCGATACTTCCTTGATTGTAAACATTATTGGCGCGTCATCACAGCGTTGTAGCAACACCTTGCACTTTGTAGGTTCAGCGCTACGCATCAGCCAATTCAACAGCGCTCGCATAGAAGCTAGGTCCGATTCAGAGAAAATTATGTTATTCTTGTCCTCCGATTATTGATCACTTCTGCCCCAGAAGTGAAAAGTTTATGATGCAACCATTTATAATCATTTCAACCACAACTTTGAAGCGTAGGACAGCCAAGAAGTACTCCATTTGCGGGGAAATCATAAGTTTCCGTAGACCCTTATACAACCACGGGAGTAGTGATGTAACTAATGTAGTTTCTCGTGTATCGCCACACGTTGGCACAATCAGTGGAAGCAAAGGCGTTCTTCAAGTCAAGGATTGCTGCCATGATCGTTTGTGAGTATAGTGCGGCTCGAACAGTAGTTAGGGGGTTCTCGTATTCTCCACCAGGGCGGCATCCAGCATAACATGCACTGATTCATCCCACAAAAAGGGGCAGTGGGCCACCACAGCATGGCACTGGAGATAAGACTAGGGCTACGAGGATTTTCGCTGAAAGCCCTTTAATCTTTTTCGTAGATAGGAATGCCATACATACTCCTTTGGCCGAACAGAGAAGCCAAGGCCCTAGTAATTTGTCATCATCAACGATGATAAGGGGTCATCTGAACCAGATGTTTTGTTCCGCTTCAGCATTACCAGCTCGTGTCGGATTTTCTCGATAGTGGGACTTGTTATGTCAACGTTCCAGATACTTTCAGCAACTCAGCTCGCACTTACCTAACATAGTTGTCAGGCAGGTACCTTTGGTTATGCATCTTTAACCGAAGCGCAAAGTATAGGCTTTATGCAATCACGTACAATGGCTTAGAGTGCGGAGAGGTGCCCCAACCAACCATGTAGCATTGGTATGCGCCATCTGTTGCTGATAGCCATGTGGTTGATCTGAATCGGTGGTCGCCACCTAACTCGTTGCAGGCACTTGTGTTGAAGAGCTATGCTGCTGACATAGAGGTTGTGCTTGGTGCACAGCTGAATATACCTGTCAATAACATCAGTATAGTATATGTCGACTTCGAAACAGTCTCTGAAGCTATGTTTTTATTCTGCAACTTTCTTGATGTCCTTGATCTTGGCCATTCGGCAATGAACATACGGCCGCTTTGGTAAATCTATCCCCTTTGCTGCTTGTTAGTTCCGATGGATCTTCAATCCGAATGAGACATATGGGGCTATCCATTAGGACTCATTCAAGAGGAAAGTCTCC